AGGCGATAAACATTTCCTGTGTTGTTGTGCAATACTAAACATGTCCTTTGTCATTATTGTATAGTGACCTTGAGGTGCAAGGTAAACAGTGTTGTTATTGCCAGCTGTTAAACAAAATATATAGTATACAGCCATTATTCATTGTTTTTCGAGACGAATATGCATACTGAACATTATATGGGATTGTCGTATTAATGCCATTAATAAATGTATTATAAAATATATCACAGATCACATCTACAGTAATGTTTAATAGGTCTTAGACATCACCCACAAAACCCCCTCGTGTTTTGAACAGTATTCAATAAGCCCAAATTGTTTATTTTACGAGAACAATTGTGTATTGCAGCAAAACACTTAGTTCCTGATTTGGTTGAGCAAGCAGTTAAATATACCCACACAGCAGCAATGTCTCGACAGCATTTTATGCGAAAGGAAAACTTGGATGCTGACCAAATTTGATATTTCGACAAAGGAGGGAATAACTCTCGATCTGAAAGCTGAGGTATGCTGGATATCCATATAGGATTGGTCTCCAATGCCCACAATGCTTCATTTTAAATTTGAAAAGAATTTGTTAAAAACTGTAATCTCCATCGTGTTCACCGGGTGATAGGGGTGATGACTGTGGAATGGAAAATCTTTGAACGCTAAATACAGATATGCTTCGTCCTCCCATGACCCTAATACTTCAAAGCAAATTCGAAAAATAAATCCATTACAAACTGTAGTCTCAATCGCGTTCGCAAGGTTTCCGGAAAAGTGGAGATAATCTTCGCAACCATTAAAAACGACAGCCTTAATAAAACACGGTAACTTCGAATTGAAAAGTCGATAGTATTCGTCCCCATATGATCCCAATGCTTCCCAATGCTCAATCGCGTTCGCAAGGTTTCCGGAGAAGTGGAGATAATCTTCGCAACCATTAAAAACGACAGCCTTAATAAAACACGGTAACTTCGAATTGAAAAGTCCATAGTATTCGTCCCCTTATGACCCCAATGCTTCCCACATAATTTGAAAAACATCCGTACAAAACTAAAGCCTCTATCGCGTTCACAAGATTGTCCGAAGGGGTGGGGGGGGGTAAATCCGGAACGGAAAGTCACTGAGCGCTAATACTCTCTGGGGTGTGTCCTTTCATAAACAAAATGCTTCAAGCAAAATCTGTATAGCCTTTATGTCATTCAGAACGTCTTTGCTTCCCATGATATATGATAAATATCCATTCAAAACTACTGCATTTATTTAGACGTATAAAACTGTAAATACTATACAAAGTTACGTGATGTTTAAGTCTCTTGGATGCAGGCGTTGTAACATCATGTATGCGATGGTCAGACATTTAATGCTAGTGGAATTGGATTTACGATTTACTTTCCTGTTAATCTCCATAGCAAGTCTGTGTTTGGTTCCTGAAAGAAAAATGAGTTACAGTAAAACTATTGAATTGGTAAGTTATAGTTTACACAACATTCATAATTTACCTAATTTAATGATATTGTATTTCTTATCCTGGAATACACAGTTTTTTTAAAATTAATACCCCGTGGATATTGGCAATAATTTTCGGCATGCAATTGGTTGTCTAACCCATCTTTTACCAAACCAGAAATAAAAAAAAAATGTTGACTTGCTTTAAATTAGGTACCAACGTTCGTTCTGAAATCACTAAAACGTGTGAAAGCGTGTTTAATGAGCAGATAATGTGTTGATTAAATCTAAAGCCGCACCCCCCCCCCCCACCGTTCCCCGTCCCAGAATACGAACTTTGTTCCAGTGGACCTGACGTGCTTCACCTGTCAGTGAATTACTATGGGCATCCCCACCCTTTCCCCGAGAAATCAAGTGACACGGATAATTGAATAATACCTTGACTATCGCGTTTATGAATCAGACTATAAATACATCATTGGAAATCATGCCAAAAGTTTAATGTGTTTAGGAAACATCTGTCCATAATATTACTATGGGCATTCCCACCATTTTACGGAGAAATCAAAGTGACCTAGAACAACTGAATAACACCTTGAAGATCACGAGTTTATGACTCGCAGTCTGTGTCTAAATATATAATTGGGAATTATAGCAATGCTTACACTATTGAAGAATCGGGATTTCCCAGAGAAATAATGTTGTCAAGTGCAAAAAAATCAATAGAGGTTAATGTCACCCGGACGCTAACCAGGTGATTTCTGAACTAAATTATGGAATATTTTGACTAACAAGTCGCTTTCTTATACCTAAAAGCCATTTTTTGGGTGGGGGGGTGGATTCTTTTATATTTTAAAAACGTTTTAACAACAAATGAAATGGGGTTTAACGTCCTACTGTTCTGCTCCTATACTGGGCTAATGAAGACGGGCATACGCCATACAGTGTGCTATGAGGGAAATTTTGCCCGGGCAGCGGCACTATCGCCTACTCTTATATCGAATTCCAACTGCCAAGGGATCTTTTACGTGCATTCCAATGTATACACGGGACCTCGCTTTTTCGTATCACCCGAAAAATTAGACAGCTGTCCTTGTCAGGCCCTCCGTTCTGCACCACTGACAAGGGGAAACCACGTCGGAAAATCTGGATGAACTTTCTCGGCCAATGCAGGGACCGAACACCCGACCTCCAGGCTAGCGAGTCAGCGTCTTAACCACCTTACCACCGTGGCTCCCGTTTTAACAACAAAGCATCTACAATCGTATCTTTCTTCTTGCGGAACAATTTTTATCCTCATCATTGTAATACGCAGTGTCAGTTATCGATATTAAATTTTAGAGTAGAACAGGCTTATTTATTTACATGATGTTACCAGGACAAATAATTAGTTATGTATTATATATAACTGTTCAACATAACAAAGAACTATACATTATTGTATTGTATTATAAATATCTAAGTTTTTTCATTCATTTTATTTTTGTATTCCGTCCATGTGTGCCGTTGGCAAAAAAGGTTGAGAAACACTGGAGTAAGGGCTTTAATACCATTTAACTAATTGGTATTTAACTACTTTGTGAAAGCAAAATGGCGAGCAAGTAATATGGGCTAATCACAGTCACACACAGAGCAATGGGGGTAGAAACAAAAACCTTGCAGTTTTCTTACCGTGCAAAGGTAAAAATATTTTGGAAATGATATGAGATTAACATCCTGTTTTTTTCTGCAAGGCTTCTTTTACGTACATGCCAACCAGCACGTTTCCTTGCCAGACCCTCTGCCTAATAAGGAGAAACCAGACTAGAAAATTCAGAGAAATATTACTGGTCAACACCGGTTTCGAACTCCAACCGTTTAGTTAATTAGCCACCGTCATACCCGTTGTGAAAAAGGAAACAGCTTTTATTTTTACTAGATATGATGTAACAAATTTACGTACACAGATATCCAATAAGCATTACAAAAGGATTTCGTCGTTTTCTGGGTCTTAGGTCTTTGATCTTCGTTTTATGCACACTACGGAAAGTGGTTTACCATATTTACGTACACAGATATCCAATAAGCATTACAAAAAGATTTCGTCGTTTTCTGGGTGTTAGGTCTTTGATCTTCGTTTTATGCACACCCCGGAAAGTGGTTTGGCACATTTGGGTTATCATCCAATGTAAACCCAATAAAAGAAAAGGGTGTTGGGTTGCTTCTCTGTAGAAAGTTTATATAATACGCACTAACAGTTTTAACTCTTAAATTTGTTTGGAACTGAATTTTTAAGCTACAAGCAAAATATAAAATTGACACGACCGTATATTATAATATGTTCTACGACCTTCCAATGTCAAATAAATGATGTCTGATTTCTTAAGATCGGAAGAAAGAAGAGCGCTGTGGCAAATGTTTAAATTACCTATCCTTAAAACGAAGATTGCACAGTTAACGGTGAGAGATGTCATACGCGAGACAGGGCATGCATGCCATTTCATGAGTTATCATTATGGAAGATGGAAAGGCATTATAACTAAAAGATATTTGTATAAATGAAATCCCACTTATTACTGCCATGTATATTATTATGATATTACTGCTTACTTAGCTGTTTTAATATCTTATTCTCCGAATTTGCCTGTTTTTGTTTCACGAAAATACGATTCTCCGTGAAATTTAACACACAGCAAAAGTGGGAATCTCAGTTATATGCTATCACACAGAGGTGAATATTGTGGCGATGGGCTTAAGAATGCTATTTGCCACAAATTAGCCATGGTCATCAGATGTTTACTCGAAGGCGACAGTTCCCCTTGTCAGTTAAGTAATTGTAAAGTTTGTAAGAAAATCGCTAGAGTTCACAAGGATCTTTTATAAATTCGCAAGCATTGATAAACATGTGTAAGGCCTCAATTTTTTCAACATTTCTCCAGGCCAATCTTATCATTTTCAGCGAATTTCATTTCCCCAAAGATATTCTTCCTTGTATGAGCGTAGCATACACATAGAATTTCGATAGTTCAGAATTATTTTTGAATTTGTCGTTTTCACTGTTATAATATGCCGTTGAAAAGCACAATATTATGCAGCTATTCATTCATCGTTTTTCCAGACAAATATAGTAAACCGACCGGCTGCTACAATATATGCATACTAATAATTCTATGGGGTCGTATTACCAGATTTACTGATAAACTCTACTAGAAAATACCTTACAGAATATATATTGATTTTTAATGGGTTTAAATAAGTATGACGAAGCTCTAATAATAAACATAGGGTTTTCTGTGAATGGAACTCTTCCAAACTAAGTTCGTGGAATATATGCCGCTTATATGTTTAATATAAAAGTTCACTGAAAAAAAACTTGTGTTGCATCTCAACACAAGTACTTGTGTGAAAATTATTCTACACAAGTTATGTGTTGTTTTGCATTGCATTAACACAAACTTGTGTTCTTTTTAATGCATTAACACAAATCTTGTGTTTTTTCCATATAATTAACACAAGTAATGTGTACCGTCAACAAATATATTTTTTTTAAAATTTGAACTCCATACAAAGTCTTAATCCGGGGTCCACAAGTAAGAGAAAGGTATTTTTTACTCAGACTTGAATGCTAATTGGTGTTAAGATGTCTGTAGTTAAAATAAAGTTGGGCCCAATAAACTGGTAGATCAAAGGCCTGTTGAGCGCTCATGCCCGGTGTGATTTTAACAATTGACTCCAAATGCGTTGACAAGAAAATAAGTAAAACTGTTATTGAATGTGATTGGTTGATAAAATCAACGTACTATAGGCTACATTTTGTCTGCGATATCATCTCGGTGGAAGCGGACATTAAATGAAGTGATTTCACACAATTAATTTAACATTTAACAACGTGCTGAAATGATTTTGGAGCAGTGATATGTTTGACAAATGTAAGCTAATGGTCACATAGAATACAAGACCGCAGGTTTGTGAATATTTATATAAAAAAAATAATACCATGTATGTAATTTAGCATCGATATTGTTTCTCTGTATAATGTTAGTATTTTGTTCCTTAAAAAAAACTCCAACAATTTAAACCGGAAGTTCATGTTTATAATATGGCGCGGTCAGGAAAAAAATTTCGGCATGTTATTATCAAATCTGTTCAATTTTTTCTGAAATCATGCTTAATTAATATTAGTTGTTCGGCGCTACGATGTTGTTCAAATATTTACATTACAGAATCACATTATGATTGAAGCAGAAACGGCTCGACTTGAACCAGCAGGTAAGAATCTGTTTTGAAATTATATCTTGGGAGGTTGGATTGGCGTTGGAGACCCGATTGGCGGCCATTTTGATTCTTGTTTCATGATTTTTTTATATTATAACGATTTTGCCAAGAGTAGACATAAACGCGGGCACAGACTAGAAAAAAATCTTTTTACACTTTTGTGTTAGTTGAATTGTAATCTAATTTATGTTTAAAAAAACAACCTTAAATCTAATAAGCAGACGGAAGATATGGACGAACAACAAGAAGAAGTTATGGAGGTCCCAACAACTGAACCTATGGAAGTAGAAGAATCGTTTACAGCCGAAACCCGATACGATGTGCCAGTTCCGGTCATGGAGTCCTCCATCTCAGACGATGCCGACGTTAGTGTCTTCTGCGACGAAGAACCCGTAGTGGTGTATACGCAGGTAGAAGCTGGTTCCTCCGTGGCAAGTCCAAGTTGTTTGACAACCAAGGTTTTAATTATACAATTAAGGTAGGGCGATTTATTTTACCTAGTTAACTACCTTGTATAGAAATGTATTTCAGCTACAAAATGTAAAGATAATTAACTCTAGTTAACCTAGTTAACTCTATAATAATAAATGAATTTAATATATTTTAGACAGAGAAGAAAACTACGATTTGGAGGTGTTCCATCTTCACCCAGCAGAACCCGGTATACACACGGCTACCAAGATAAAAGTTACAGTAGGTTTAAAAATAATATATCAATTAAATTAAAAATTATATATCAATTAAATTAAAAATTTATATATGTGTGTAAATAAATAAAATATAAATAAACCAATAATATATTTGTAGTTTAATATGTTTTATCTTATCATTACAGGCAAAGCATGAAGCCAAAGGAAATGTTTTTACCAAGTCATGTTCCTCAATAGCGGAGAGAGTTTTATCCAGTGTCGGTTCTGCAGAAGAACCCATTCATAGCAGACCACCCATGGCAGCACTTGTAAGGTCGCTACAAAGAACCCGACAGACTCTGCGACCAAAAGATCCCACTGACGTGTCGTCAAGCGTAAGTACTCATGCAATTAAATACCCATGTATATAAGAATTTATTAACATGTAATTAAATGTACAATTTTATTTATTTATTAACATGTAATTAAATGTACTTTTTTATTTATTTTTTTTTTTAGCTTGACGAAGATTTCATCGATCATAGTGCACCGGGATTTTATCAAAAAAGAGTAAAAGTTGGGGAAAGGCGCCATCACATTTTTTGTACTGATAGACAGATGCAACTACTCGCACGCGCAAAAACTTGGTATATATGGATGCAACTTTTCGGGTGGTGAACAAGCCATGGTCTCAGCTGTTTTCCATCCACGCCTTCATTAAGACCACCCGACAGTTACCATTGGTGTTTTGTGTTATGTCGGGTAAAAGCCAAGACGACTATTATAAGGTAAATAGCACTTACTGATTGAATTACTATTAATAGTAAAAAAGGACTATTATTTGGGACCTTGAAATTGTCACAAATGGGTATCACTAACAGCGACATTTGTTTCAGGCATATTTGTTTCATCGGTGACACGTCTGGTGTCACGTGAATGCAACGACAACAGCCTGGTTGATTGATTTGTTGATTGGAGTTCAGATGTCTACATTAAAATCGACCACATTCAGGTTGCCGTATTCACGGCCAGGCAAGACCGACTTGAAATTTCTAGAAATTTTTCTGGGGGAGACAGGCCCCAACAAATCCCCCGACGGTGCGTTTCAAGACTTTGGCGCAAGACGGTGACCTTGAAGAGACGTCGAAAACCATTTAATAGACATAGTAAAAGTCATATCTTACGAGATTATCGCTGGACTTGTCAGAAAATGCTATTTTATATATGACCAGTTTGTGTTTGAAAAATTTAAAAATAAATTATTTATTCTCCCACCATTAAAGTACACTAATTACGAAATATCGCTCTCAGAAACTTCATGGTTTCTTTTGCAATTTGTTTGGGGTAAGACGTTATATAAATAATATCAATCTGTCTACCACACAAATTTAACAGATACAAATGCATGTTATTCCACAGGTAGACAGACAGGGCCTCCTTTGAAGGGACTCAGTAAAGGGAACGCGGTTGGTTTAGAGTTTGTCTGACCCCTTTGAATATTTGCGTCTCATCTCCAATGAAAACATTCATGTTGCTCTCATGCTGTTCTCAACCAGAATCAAACATATATCGTACCCGAGATTTGTTAGCATGTTCCACACAACCCAACATTTATCGGCACCGGGATTAAGGGTGTATATCTTTGTTTCTAACGCTTATTGGGAATACGCCACGGAAACTACAATAAAAACTTATTTACAAAAACATTCTAAAGAGTGAAAACTGACATATTTCAAGCTTTACTGTATTTAAAGAAATAATTTAAATCAGCCGGCTGAAACCCCGTCTCCGCTATTTGTTCAGTCATTCTTTAGGTATAGTGCCAGTTTCCACCGACAATGATATTGCAAACAAGTGTCCAATCTATAAAAGCATACATTCCTACAAAATGTTTCTTTAGTCAAGTGAAACAATAAATTCATAACTATGCGAGGGTGTGGTGAGTAAATTCTGAAAAGGCTAATGTGACATAGAACAAGGTCACATTGATGTTGACAAATACGTAAGACGATATGAACATCAACTAAAAAGATATGTAATGTGATTCAGCTGTAAGGTGAGACAAGTCTGAAAAGGCTAATGTGATATAGAACAGGGTCACATTGATGTTGACAAATACGTAAGACGATATGAACATCAACTAAAAAGATATGTAATGTGATTCAGCTGTAAGGTGATATATGCATATATGCAGCATAGATAATCAACTTCTATTCAAGTTAAACCAACTGTATCTATTTATTTAAGTCTTACGTCGAGCTGAATACATTTTATGATTTATTGTCATCTATTGGTGGTTAACAGTGTGTAACTAAAAACTAAAATTGGATCTTATTATTGCCAATGATATAATGTACATGTAATAGCAAGTGTATATATATTTTTTGTTCAGTCTGTACACAGTAACATATCTGAGAACCATATTATTATCATTTCTGCCCAAGGCTCCCTGTGCCTTATAGTTAGCAGTGATACAAGGCAATTACCAATTTTCCATGTTTTTGGCCTGAAGAAATAAAATAATAAAAGTCAAGTTTTTATTATTATGCAAGTGGAAAAATACAATTATTCATAGTATGATTTGAATAAATACAACTGATTTGAAGTTGGAATTATTATTTGTCTAAGATGACTGGGCATTTACAAATTGAAATAGCTACTCTTCATCAAGAAAATACATGAATATTTTTCCCAATTCACCTGGATTTTATTGTAGGTCTTTGTACGTGAAATAGCTTTATTTAACGTCTGCTACCACCGAAGTGATATTGCAGAAAATTAACAAATTCGGATTCCCTTTTAAAGGAAATGGACTGCACTATCGCTGGATTGTATTATATAGGTCATGTCAGTTTTTTTTTCAAAATGGCGCCCAGAACACAAAACAAACATTGCAATTCAAGGCGGACTGGTGTCGAGGCTGTATCCTAAGAATGATTTTTTGAATATTTAATCACACAGAAACACAAGTATGCACATGCAGTTATGATATAATATTAAATTAGCTTACCTCAAATACCTCGAAATATACTGTTTGGTCAGTTTGTCCGCCCGCCATATTTCTATTAGTCACACATCCTTCGGCCAATTAAAATGGACGTATATTTTGTTTTAACCGAATCGAAAAATTTGCGTTATAAATAGTAAACGAGCTTGATTGACCGACCACTGCTAATGTTTTTTCGTGAAACGGTATAACTGCAATCAACACACGGCCGCCATTCTCGATGATTGACAACTCACGTTTTTCCTCATCCACCAAAGAACCGTTAGGTTTCTTTGAACATACTGTAATAACATTGGGATTATCAGTTAATCAGCTTTAATTATCCCGCTTTGTTCGTTGTATTCTTATATTTTCCACAAAAAAACTTTGCCTTGTACGCACTAATTTATCAATTGGTATTGCCATCTACGACAAGCATGTCAACGTGCAGCTCACGGATTATCGTTAACAATTTCTAGGGGCTTGTAAAAAAAGATTGCATGTCGTGTAAATATTTATTTTGTTTTTTGTGTAGGTCATTTTCAAATAAATTCATCAGCATATTATTCGTTTTAAATAAATATAAAACTTTTATGAGAAACGATGATTATCAAAGAACCGTAAGTGCAACTAATGTTTTATCGTTTGGTTGAGCCTTTTACTAACCACGTGTTTCATGTTAATAAATATTTTCTCTCGTGTTTTGAATTTGCCTATTTCTAATAAATTATCCCGAGTCCCAAACGTCGTTAACCCGAGTCCCAAACGACGTATACCAAAGTCCCAAACGTCGTATACGCGAGTCCCAAATGTCGTGGTCATATTTTTTTGAGTCCCAAATGACGCGAGTCCCAAATGACATGTAATCCGTTGTTCAACCTCTGTGAGTCTGTGTAATATTTAATATTAGGCCCCATTTTTGCCTGATTCAGTCACAGTTAATAAATAATGGAACTAGAATCAGCCTGTGGAAGTTTCTCTATAGTTTTATTATTTTTTCCAGTCAATGATGATATGTGACTCTTTCCACCTTCCGGCAATAATTATTGACAATTTACCAAGGACTCCATTGGCATTGAATCGAAGAAAAACAGGTAAAAATTTCAATTAATTTTTATATTTTCTATTATTTTTTTTTTACCAATGTCCTACAATGATTAGTGTATGTGAACATACAATCCAAAATAAAGTATTTATATGGCACTTACATGCAACAGAGAGAGAGAGAGAGAGAGAGAGAGAGAGAGAGAGAAATGACATAAACAAGGCCTTACATGTACTTGTATTTGAAGAATCAAGTAGTCCATGCTGTGCCTATATGCATACCGGTAATCAACTACGACGAGGATTAGCCTACTTCCGTTTCCACCCTTTCCCTGCACACTGTCTCATTCTACATGTATTAAAAATTGGTATGTTACTGTAATATTAATTATGCACGAACCTACATGTAGAGTTGTTGCAAGATGGGTCCTTATATCTACTTAGCCTACAGACGCTAGGTCGTTTCGGGAAAAAGGACAGGTAAGGTTAAATTTAATATGAATAATTCGCTTGCGGGTATGGGTATTTAGCAAAAAGAGGAAACAAAAGGACCCAGAGATTAGAGAAGGTATGCTTCAATTTAATATGAATAATTCGCTTGGCGTAGGGGTACATGTATTTAGAAAACGGAGGAAACCGAATGACCCAGCGAAAAAACTCAAGAGATTGGACAGGCGACTCTACTCCTTGAAATTGAAACCATGCCACTTAACACAATGACAGACCCTGTGATTTCATGCGCATGCATTACCTACTAGACCATTCCCGCCAGCCCCACCCCATATCGAATAAAAGTATGACTTATTTCAAATATGATATTTACATATAAAGAAAGTAGAGAGACTTCAATCTTACTAGAAAAATACTAGATTACCTGAAATGAAATGGGGTTTAAAGACAACGTCCTACTGGTCAGCTCCGACTGGTCTAATGCATTGTGCTAAGTGAAAATGTTTGTCTGGGCAGCGACACTATGGCCTACTCTCATACCGAATTCAAACTGCCAAGAGAACTTTTATGTGTACGCCAACGTGTACATTGGATCTCAGGGGAAACCACTCTGCAAAATCAAGATGAGCTTTCTCGGTCAACCCCAAGAGATAACCTGTGGCCTCCATGCTGGTGTGCCAGCACCTAATTTACTCAGTCACCATGGCCGTCTTCTAATTACTGCGACAGTTAAACCATGTGACAAACAAGGATTATTAAGATAAACTTTTACGTCTTAGGTAGTTCCTTGGGATTAAAACTTTTGATACATATAGATACATTAGTTTCAATTTCATATCACACAGTTTGTATATATGGTAAGGTAGCTTTAATCGTAAATTACATATCATGTATTTATTTTTTCAGTTTCAATATTTGATGTATATGCAAATCACCCAGAAAAAGATCATGTAATAACAAAAGAAATTATAAAAGAAAAAAATGGAAGAAGAAATGGCTGGAAAAAATGATAATAGAGCAGCTTTTTCTTGGTGGGTAACTATTCAATTCTAATAGAAAAGATTGTTATGCTATTTTGAAATCTAAAATTCAGTTTAGTATAGTAAAACTGTACACGTCATGTATGAGCAGAGACAGAATCTTAGTTATATGTAGATATCACTGTCTCATCTGTGGCAAAGCAAACCAACACATGAAACAAAACAAATGTAATTAAATTAACATTTTTTTAATTAATCAAAACTGTCTAGTCAATTTAAGCCAACTAATACATTGTCTCTTTTTTTTCAGTTACCCACCTCGGAAGATCAAGTTGGAAAGGGCTATTGATATTGTGGAGACGTTTTCTCACAGATCTTGCTTATCAGACAAAGACTATGTAAGTACCATGCATATTTGCTTTTTAAATCAGGAACTGGTTCTATACACTTGGTGGGGGGTTGGATGGACGTTAAACCCCATTTCTCTCTCTCTCTCTTCTAAATATATTCAAGGTATCAGGAGCTTTTTATGGCTCCCGTACAATTTTATAAACATGAAGGACTGTACCTTTTGAATATTAAGCCATCAAATTATTTTATAATTTTGAAAATGAAATGAAATGAAATGGGGTTTAACATCCTACTGTTTTGCTCATAAATTGGGCTAATGAAGACGGGCATACGCCATACAGTGTGCTATGAAGGGAATTTTGCCCGGGCAGCGGCGCTACAGCCTACTCTTATATCGAATTCCAATTGCCAAGGAATCTTTTACGCGCACGCCAATGTGTACACGGGACCTCGGTTTTTCGTCCCATCCGAACGACTAGACAGCTGTCCTTGTCAGGTCCTCCGTCCTGTATCACTGACAAGGGGAAAACACGCAAACTGTAAGTAACATATATATTTGTATTTTTAATCAGGAAGTACTTCTAGTTATTCTTCTTGGGGCAATGCCTAGGACTCTGCTGTTTCAAGTACTTGGCATGCTTGATTTTTGCCAATCACATCCATTGATTTCCTTCAAGTTGCGATAGGCCCTATTTTTACAGTAAATAGCAGTAAAATAATGATGGACAGTATTTTACTTTCAAATAGATTTCAATAGATTTTAAAGGGTAATATCCAATTTGTTGTCAATGGAAATAAAATAAGAATGGGTCCAAAAATAATTAGACATTGCCAAGTAAATAGGTGCTGCCATGATGTAGTAGGGAATCTGGATTTGCAGACAATACATGTATGAAAGGGTGAATAGTTGACCTATTATGAGACTTCAGTCCCAAATCTCAAGACTTTTTTCTGACTTCTAACTCATTTGATTTGAGCATAATAATCTGCCTGGGTCTGTAACTGGACAAGACACAATAAGCGTTACGCAAAGTTGAAACCAAATAGAGACTCGGTCTCGATGTGGCAAAATAAATTGTTTATTTAAACGTTGTGAACCATAGAAAGTATTCTTATTGCCTACTTTTTATTTTTTAGGCTGGAACACCATTGAAAGAGTATTTGCTGTATGATAACAACAAGAAAACCCAAGCATCAATTTATTTTATACTTCTGGGAAAGAATGCATTTGACCCAATTTTTAAATATTTATTTTTTGTTATTAATGTTAAATTTTCTTCCAAAACACAATTAGATTTTAATTCTCTTCAGAAATGTATGTATAATATAGCAAGTAAAGTGACATATAAATCACTTAGAATTTGGTCAGAAATCATAAAGTATTTAATGGGCATTACTAGAAACCAAATGTAGATCAAATACACCCAGAATTACAAAAAACCTTGACCTACATAAAGGTGACTTTCCCTTGCTTATGAAATGAAATACGGTTTAGTATCCTACTTTTCTGTGTTCTTAGAGTGATTCTGCCCTACACCCTACTCTTATATCAAATATTTCAACTGTCAAGGGTTCTTTAACGGGAACCGGGGGGGGGGGGGGGGGCAATGATTAACACGCACACATTTGATCAGGAAGTCTGTCATTGAGTCAAATAATTCAATTGTCAAGGGTTCTTCTAAGTGAACTCAGTGGGGATGGTTTCGATTCCGGGAATGGGGGAGGGGGTGGTGGATGGCTGAATGGTAAGCACGTGCGTGCGGTATCATACGGCCTGTCATTGAGTCAACTGGCGTGGTTTCGAATCCCCGGTTGTACGTGACAAGGAGTAGGGTCGCCTGTCCAATCTTGTGGGTTTTCTCCGGGACCTGCGGTTTCATCCCACTGCTAAAGACCCCTATGCGCAACGAATTATTGAAATAAAATTAAACCATATGTTAATCCCGAAATGACCTAGTTTGTGTCAAGTGGACGTTAAACCCCATTTCTCTCTCTCTCTCTTTCGATTCCGGGCTTGTACCCAATTATCTCTTGCCATATCCAACACTACTGACAAGTGGGAACTATGCCGGAAAATCCAGTTGAAATTTCTCGGCCAACACCTTATACTCACTGAACCACTGTGGCTTATGACTTGTGATTGTATATAAATTTTTTGTACATATGATGTTTTTTTATTTCAATCCTGTAATCTTGATGCTTTGCTCCTTTTATTTACAAAATATTCATTTTGTTTGGGGTTTTTTAATGAGGAAAAGGTTTTACATCATTTTATTACTCCTGCAAAATAGTGCATTTTTCTTTTGTTAGTTTTCTGTGTATATTAGTTATTTCTATATGTCTCACAAATCACTTGTAGTGTGATTTTGTAGCACTTTTCAGTTTTTGAAATCGTTTCAATTTAGTGCATAATTAATCTTAGTGCTTGGTTTGGATGTTATTAAATTTAGATATTATTTGAATTATATATTTTGGAGTATGGGGTAGGGATACTGTGTACATATCTTTATATTCTCAGTTCTTGTTTTGGGGTAAAGAACAATTTATATAGCTATTTTATATTTTGTGATAGGTAAAGTGTGTGGGGTTAAGAACAATTTAAATAGCTATGTTATATTTTGTGATGGGTAAAGTGGGGTGTGTGTGTGTGTGTTTGTGTGTGGGGGGGTCATTATATATAACACAATATAATTAGTATTAGAATTCTGTTTTTCTGTTAACATTTCAAATATCTATTTAGTTTTGATGTATTAATTTACTTTTTCCTATGATTTTATGAATAAATAATAATTTTACAAAAACAAAAAAAATTTTGTTTCCTTCTTTTATCAAACTTTACAGGTCTAACAGGGCAAAGAGATGGGTCCTGCATAAAAAGGTTGCTATACTGTATATAAATTGGGGAAAAACACAACACAAGTTTTTGTGGATGGTTATACACAAGTTTGTATGAAACCACTCAAGTTTCAGAAATTTCAACACAAGTTTTTTTACAGTGTATTGTGACAGTATTGGGTCTTTATATCAAAGTTCTGATGACAAGACTAGTTTAACATATAATAATACTTTTATTCTCTGCTTCTTCTAACATATTATGTACAAAACTTAAAGACTCCATAACTAACTTGTATTGATTGAACCATGGCCCTAGCTCGGCTAGGCACGAGTGTGCCAACTCCCAACTAACATTACGTGGCCGTTGTCCGGTCTTAACTCCAGACCTTCGTGGCCTGTCCTGGTCGGACCTCTCTGTCTATTTGTTTCTTAATCTGGTTTTATAAACCCTTCCAAACAAAGGATCTTTTTAGGCATCTGGCTAATTTATCATATCAAGTTTAACATTCGATACATGCTAATCAGACAAAGAAAGTTTAAATAAAACATGCCATGAAGTTAACGTTTACATAATCGTTACTTAATCACATAGACCAAGAACTCCAGGCATGTCGATAACGAACAGGTGTCAAGTTGGCAGAAAGCGTCTTTAACATCAGATAATCTGATTATGTAACAATATTATATACTAACAATGCATAGTTAGATTGTTGAATAGAGTGGGGAGCCGCGATGGCTCAGTGGGTATGACGCTTGCCGATTTGGTTCCCGGGAATGTTTCAGCTTGGTTTCTCTTTACCAGTGGTGAAGGACAGGACCTGACAAAGAACAGCGCCTAGTCATTCGAATCGGACGATAAACCGAGGCCCTGTGCACACATCGACGTGCACGCACGTAAAGGAACCCTTAACAGTTGGAATTTAATTGCTGTCCGGGCAAATTTTCCCCCCAGTAGCACACTGCATGAGTTATACCCATCTTCATTGTCCCGGGCGGTGCAGAAACACATTTCATTCATTTATTCTAGCCAAGTATTACTTTACATAAACATATGAGACCAGTTCATCACGGAAACCTGAATCAAAATAGATACGTAACTGATTCCTTTTATTTTAAGTCATGTGCACAACAAATCGGGTACTGGCTCGAACCGCGGCACAAGTTAAACCATCTGTGACATCATTCCATACCACTTAATATTTCAGACAAGGCTACTGTCTTCATATTTAGACCGCCTTGTGTCAATAAGTACCCTGCGAAATTTGGAAAGCCCCTATACATGTACGTTTAATGACATCTATTTTCTTGTGAATTTGTGGTGAAGACCATTGCAATTGACGAATGTAAATACTTAAAAGTTAAATGTTAAATGAATGACCATTTCCGAACGGTTCAATGATACTGTTTTCAAACCAATTCAATAGGCTATATCGTCACTATTATAAAGTTTAAATTACCTAAATGTAATAAAATGCCAATAATATATTTGTGAACGAGAAATCCATTACGCTGCACTGTTTAAGAGATTGAAATTTCTGCTGAACCTACTGACTTAAGACACTATTGCTTGTCAATGACATTCAACGAAAGATCAAATCACATATAAACTGGTGTCCTATTATAAGGAGTAAGACTAGTACTTGCTTCCCTTGACGAACTTAGTGCCAATATTTATAGCAATTCTCACTTTCTCGCTTTTCCCCCTTTTGCATGGCAAAGACTATTGAGTTTCCATTTCTGCCAGGTTTTAGTTAATATTCATGATTTTAGGGCGGAAGGATCGGGAAGTAATGAATTAGAGTGGCCGTCTACTAAAATGACGCCACGACCAGGCAAAGAATCGAAATGGTTAACCCCCTTCAATATTTGTATCGCTTGTGACATGTTGGACTATTTGTGGTTATAAAGATTAAGACTATCGGAATGTTAAAATAAATGTTATAGGTTAAGAATTGTCATGGCTGTAGCATTGAAGTCAATGGGGAGACATTTGCTAGTTCGAATCCATGATGGACTCAGACTAGTAATTATTTGCCCATTGACTTCAATGTTAAATGGCTGTAACATCACAGGCTGTAGCTTTTTTCTCAACATTCCGTTGGTTAAAATCTTTATAGGCACAATGGGGACCACATTTGGAAATATCCTCATCATAATTTTGTAGGGGGTTGACCGTTTAGATATTTTGCAACGGGGATTTGATGTTGACTGGGGTGGAAATCTGACTGTAACATCACAGGCTGTAGCTTTTTGCTCAACATTCCGTTGGTTCCAATCATTGTGTCGGAAGTGAGATTTTCACCCCTGTCAACTACAAATCCGTGTAACAAAAAATCTAAATGGTCAACCCCCTACAAAATTATGATGAGGAGATTGCCAAATGTTGTCCCCATTGTGCCTATAAAGATTGGAACCAACGGAATGTTGAGCAAAAAGCTACAGCCTGTGATGTTACAGTCATTTAACATTGAAGTCAATGGGCAAATAATTGCTAGTCTGAGTCCTGACGTTGTAATTTTATTTAAAGAGTTATTTCCCCTTAACTGATCTGTACTGACGATTACTTTCGACGCATTACCTTTTGTTATTGATGCGTTTGATGATATCGTAAGCCTTCAACTCAGATCTCAACAATGAAAATGTCAAGTGGCCTGTACACCCTCCAGCAGCAAATCCGCTCATTCGCAACATAAAATCAATGTAAATAATTCCACAAAGCAAGTTTTTAAAAATATATTATGAACTCTGTACTGGCGTTCAAAACCTGCGAACTGAAAGAAATGAAACTCAATAGGGTTCTTCCTTGTTCACCAATAATACATTTCACCAATTTGTCTCATGGCTCATACAATATCGCGATAGCTGTCTTCACTATAGGGGGATCACGTGGCTAAGTGGGTAAGACGCTAGCTCGCTAGCCTGGAGGTCGGGTGTTCGATCCCTGCATTGGCCGAGAAAGTTCATCCAGATTTTCCGGCGTGGTTCTCCCTTGTCAGTGATGCAGGACGGAGGGGCTGACAAGGAAAGCTGTCTAGTCGTTCGGATGGGACGAAAAACCGAGGTCCCGTGTACACATTGGCGTGCACGTAAAAGATCCCTTGGCAGTTGGAATTCGATATAAGAGTAGGACGTAGTGCCGCTGTCCGGGCAAAATTTCCCTCATAGCACACTGTATGGCGTATGCCCGTCTTCATTAGCCCAGGTTAGGAGCAGAACAGTAGGACGTTAAACCCCATTTCATTTCATGTCTTCACTATAGCCCGGTTAGAAACAAGTGAGACGAAAACCACATTACAAGTCATTTCAACCTCACAAAGTTTAACAAATTCCATTGAAAACGCCGTCTTGTGATACTGACATTTCCAGGATTTAAAACAAAACCGGATCATCGAAGTTTTTAAATATCAATAGGGTTTCTCCTTCAGCCCGCATTGTGTGTATTGCGGAGGCGGGGGAGGGGGGTGGGGGTTAGAGGTCTAACGTGTGCCCTTTAAATCATAAGTCTGTCATTCAGTCTGTCATGGAATATCTTGACAAATCTCCAGAATAGCACTATCTTAACCCAAACTTGTGCATTTTAAAACAAAATGAGGACATGCAAAATTGTGCGTTGATTCAAATAACTCCGTAAACATCTTTTCATGGGTAAAGTCATCCCAACGATAACAATATATTGACATATTACCGTATTAATATTGCGGTATCTATATCGCGTTATTGACCCTCATAACCTTCCATACTTAAAGGTACATTCCCGCGTACAA